TGTGCGACCCTCAAGATCCATTAGCGGGTCTCCCTGGGGATAGGCTATGTGTGTTATGAAGAAGGGCCATGTGTGAAATGGGCCTTACACACACACACACACACACACACACATAGTATCCGTGCGTTCACTTGAGCCTTTCCACACGGTGCGCCTTGCACAGGCCCAAAACGGCCAGAGTGAACGGTTTCGCCACGCGAAACGCCTCTCAGCTGATTATTGTAAACAAACACACCAACATGGCCGACGCTGCTAGGCGTGTTGCGGGAGTTGCTGTCCTTTTAGATGAATTAGACGACCCCATTTTAGACGCAGCTTTAATACAAAACAAGATGAATTGGCAAATCTTGCATCAAATTGTTTGTATGTTTGCAAATAATGCTGCCTTATGTCTTTTTTCACATTTCATTTTCTTTTGAATATGATACTTATTTTCATAGCTCATAAAATATCTGAAAATATATACTGTACCTCTATAAGTACCTGTGATAGATCACTTATGCATTTATTTCCTCTTCATGCTGCTTGATTTTTCTTTTTCTTTTGTATAAATAACATATCATTCATCATTGTACTGCATTGGTGCGTGTATATTAACATTTATATTTTTACTGAAAGATTTAAAAACTCAAGGATTGTAAATTGTAAGTCATATTTACCCAATCCATGTCTAATAAAATATTTTTTGTTTCACCACTTTTTTTTTCGTGTTGTATTTGGGGTTAAATTACACTAAATGTATTTATCAAAAATAATAAAAGGTATTTATTTAAAATATTTGAAACTTCTGTTTACACTATATCACAATCTGAATCCTGATGTTTAAGCACCTGAGCATGTAGTGTACTGAATAATTTGTTATAACTGCCATTACATACAAAGAATTAACAAATAAACATTTCTATTTCAAGGCATGAAGGTATAACAACTGAAATTATAAACTTAAAAGACTACAATACAAAAAATATATATTTCCTGACATTTACAGAACAACTGAGTTAGAGCAATAATAACTTAAATGCAACTCGCCTTTACTTTATATTTACAAAACAAATGCCTTTACATGCAAAGATTTAACAAATAAAGACTTTTATTTTAAAGCAACAAAGGCAAAACAGACAAAAAACTAAAACCTAAAAGACTACAGCAAAAAAATATATATATTTGAACCTTTGGAAAACTCTATATTAGAAGAAACATTCATTTATAACTGTGAAATATAAATGTTACCTGGCTGTACCTGAGGTTTACAGAACATATCGCTACCTCATTGCAAGAGGGTCGTAACTCCAAATTCCTGATTTTTTAGGAGACGCATTTGAAAATTGCTAAGTCCTATGAATTTGATCATGTTTCACAAAACAACAAAACTTACCATCTTTCTTAGGTGAATATAAAGATGGTAAGTTTTGTTGTTTTGTGAAACATGATCAAATTCATAGGACTTAGCAATTTTCAAATGCGTCACCTAAAAAATCAGGAATTTGGAGTTACGACCCTCTTGCAATGAGGTAGCGATATGACTAAAGCAGCAACTAGAATGCAACTTGCCCGTAATTAATATTTAGAAAACTAATGCCTTTACACGTAAAGATAAAAATAATTCTATTTCAGGGCAATTCAAAGTAAAACAAAAACAAAAAAATTATATATATATATATATATATATATATATATATATATATATATATATATATATATATATATATATATATATACTTGACTTCGCCACGAAACGCACGGTGCGCACTACGCAAGTGAACGCACGGTATATTCCTGTCTCGTACCTGGGTATGGGCACCCCTGCCAGCCGTAGGATGTTATCTGGAGAAAGGATGTTATCTGCCCTAAAGCCTCAATTTGCACAGCCCTGTACGTGGATAATAGGTAAACAAACCAATTTTGTGTGTATAGCTGAAGATGTACTGTGTTTCCCAGCTGTATGACGTAGGAGAATGTGGAGAAAACCAGTAGTTGTAACGGTAAAATACCCAAAAATACAATGAGAATGAATGGAAAAAATCTTTACCGTGTTGATACTAAGGCAGAGAATGATAATATACACGAATAGTATGGTGTATAATGTCTGTTTATTTTTTTAAACTATATAATGACAATGTCGAAAATATTGTATATATATATATATATATATATATATATATATATATATATATATATATATATATATATATATATAATACATTTCTGTAAATTTGATATATTGCACACACAAGTACCACATTTCAGTAAAGTCTACACTAACTTTATATAACGTAAACCCAATTACTAAGTTGAAAATAATCATTACTCAAATGACTTAAAACGCACCCACGAGTGACGTTATGTCGAACAAGTAAGCTTCATGTCTGTTTTCAGTCAGCGACTCCGAAATGAACGCGTTTTGTTCAAGTTCCACCGATTTCGTTAAAGCTACGCGTTGCACTTCCTCCGGGGATAGTAGCCGAGATGAACGCAAGTGACATTGTGTCCTCATTGTGCATTTGAAGTTGCAAACATGCCGTTTGCACCGAAGTCAACCAGCGAACAAAAGGTAAGCGTTTTGGGGTAGCGTGTGTGTGTTTGTGTTTGTGTTTGTGTTTGTGTTTGTGTTTGTGTTTGTGTTTGTGTTTGTGTTTGTTTGTGTGTGTGTGTTTGTTTGTGTGTGTGTTTGTTTGTGCGTGCGTGAGAATTACACAGATTAGCGTTATGCAGATGCGCGAGCATTAAACATTCGAAAGAGAAAAGCGAAGGGAAGTGGGTCATAAGCATCAGTATGTGGCATTTGCAATCTCGGAAAAGTTGAATCGCGCATCACACGCAGAAGGGAACCGCACGTGAACCCACGTTGCAATCATGTCCGTTTCCATTCACTAGATAAAATCCGTCTATAGCGGTGGTCGATACGGACTGTTTTTGAGGTATTAATACATGTGCATATTCTTTTCCGTTATGCAATATGCACAGTTCATTATTATTTCAGATCAGTTTTCAATACAGTTTTAACTGAAATATTAATTAACGGCAAGATAAACAGTTTGAAGACGAGAGGGCGCCATTCGAACGCACTATTTACCCAAGTAAATAGTATCATTATGGCAATTTACTTCCAATATATTTAGCGTGTCCATGGCATTTCTGCGTAATATTCGCATAACAAATTATTTCTAAAATTATACACAAGATATTTTAGCTTGTATGTCAACGGAAGACAGATGGCCAAAGATGCATTAATTAAAAATATATTTCCTAATAGGTATCAACTCCCATAGACTGGGTGGAGCCTCTGTCATGACGTCATAGCTTGAAGTAAACCAGTTGCTCTATTTTCTCGGTTAAGCTTCCACACGTTGAGAAAGCTTTAACAGGGAAGAACGTGTTGCGGGTTTCCTGGAGAAGGACTAAGAGTGGATTGCTTATTTTTCTCAGAAGCATACGGAAATGCGATATTTATGTTTCCTTTATTTCTTTTTAAAACGTAGAGAAATCGGAAAGTGAATTTCTGTAAGTTATAACATCAACACTATATAAATAATGAAGATGATAATAATGATATTTAATGATAAAAGTAACAGCAATACTAATTATTAAGATAATGAAAGCAAGAATAATTATTATAACAATAATAATGTTCATTGTAATAATAATGATAATTTAGGGTGATAATGATAGTGATGATAATTAAATTGATGATGATAATATAATAATAATCATGACAATAATAATGATAATAATAACAAATAATGATGATAATGATAAGGGTAAAATTATAATGATAATAATAATAGTATTAATAAGCTACCCTTCTACCATCCAGTTCAAAGCGAGTTATTTAACATGTAGGGAGAAATAAGCATGTATTACAAAGTCGGTGTAACTCAATAACTTGATAGGGAAATAGATTAGTAAATATGCAAATAAATAGTTAGATAACAGGTATATGTGAATGGTCAAGACATAAGATTTAAGGAAAGAGAGAGAGATCATCATCATCATCATCATCATCATCATCACTATCATCGTTGTTGTATATGATTATAATGATAATGGTAACTTTAAATCGACGAAGAAGACAGTAATTTCTCCCCTAATGATTCAATTACAGAAGTATTTTCTCACGAAATACATTCCGAAAAAGTAGATTTAAATACAATAGTTACCCATATGAGTCGTTTTCTGTCATCCTCATCCTCGGATGACGTCATATACACGTCATCTA